GTCAGACCGCAGGCAGTGTCCTCAAGGGTCGCTTGCCACCCTCTCCTGGGCATCTCAGCGCCTCTTCCCCCGAAGACTGACTCGCTGTAGCCCCAGGCTCTCTGCCCTGCCTGGGGCCGGAGAGGGTTGGTCAGCCTGCAGGCGCCAGACTTCCCAGTGGCCCTCACTGTTCTCGTGCCCACCCGGAGCTGCTCCGGGCCTGCGTTGCTCTAGCACAACCTCCCAAAGGCCCGGTGAGGTGGGCGCTACGCGTAGACGAGGAGCCAAGCCCGGAGAGGATATGTGACTTGCCCAAGGAAACACAGCCAGGAAATGGTGGGCCAGGATTTGAACCCTGGCATGAAGGCCCCGCTCTGGCCACTCCCCTACTCCTTGTGCGGCAGTGAGGGTGGCGGCTGATATGGCATGGGGTTTGCATGCTTCAAGATGTGCTAATTTGCCTGCCCGCCCCCTTTTACCTTCTCTGCTGCCCTGCGGGGTGGCCAGATCAGTCTGTGACTTCCTTTAACAGACACGGCTCAGTTCTAGGGGGTTTGACGCTAGGACCCGTGACCCTTTGTCTCTGCTCTGCGCCCCTCGGCCCCTGCCACCTCAAGAACATAATCCTCTCAATCCCTGCTGACAGGTGACCTCATGCCCTGTGTGGGCCCCGAGGGCTGGAACAGGTGCCACGGGCCCGTTCCCACGCCTCTCTGCCTCCTGGCACTCGGTCTTCCTGGCTTCCTGGCAATCTGATGCCAGCAACCCCCACTGGGATCTCACTGGAAAGAATTATTATTGTTAGTGACACTGTGTTTGCCTAAAATCTGCCGCTAAAACCTCAAAAGGAAATTCACACACCCGGGGGGCTAATTGCCTCCTAATTTCTATTTGTGCAGGCACAGGCGGGCTGACCCCGCTCTGGAGAGGTGCTGGTCGAAGGCAGGACTGGGCCTCACCCTGGACCTTGGCCATCCCCAACAAATGCTCCCTCACAGCCGTGACATGCCCAAGCTGGGGAGGAACAGCAAGGGCGCTGCCCAGGGCTGCTGGCCAGCGGGGCTGGTATCTCCGGTAGGTCCCAGCTGGTCTCCAGCACCCCTTGCCGAACCCAGGGAAAGGGGCTGAAATACGGGGACCTGGCTGGCTGCTCCCTAGCTTTCTGGAAGCATCATCTCAGCAAGGCCGGGAAATCATACTGTTGTTGCTTCTGTTAAGACGCTGCCAACCTGAAAGTAAATGTGAAATGCGGCACAGGGCCTGGAGGGTGAAACTGAGGCCCGAGCCTCCGATGGGGAGACAGTGGGGCTGGGCAGGTGGCGGGTGGCAAAGCCAGGGTAGACTGTGGGTGTCCGGAAGTTAAAGTGGCTTGCAAAGATAATTTAATTACCGGTAAGTATTGTAGTTGAAAAAGACAGAATATTTAAAATGCGGAGCTCAGAAATGAAGCCCCAAAGCAAGGCTGCGTGATACGTCAGCCACAGAACAGATGCTGGCCATCCGGGTGACCTTCAGGAACCCTGAGGCCCCCATCCACGCCCCCACTGCTGACACGGGGATCTTTGAGGGTGCAGCCCAAGCCTCAGGCTTCTGGGAGCCCCCAAGGGTTCCCAGTGGCAGCCAAGCTCGAGAACCGCGGGCCTCCGTGCTCTCCTAACCCAGCTGAAGGGACTCTTGGGGCATCTGTTCTTGTCTGACGTTTGCTCAATAAGTCTGTTCCAAGTGTTACTCTCTCACTTCCTGAGCTGCCACTGCAGATGAAAAATAGGCGTAAGTGTGTCTGGGGGGTGACTAAGGCTTGGCAGTCTCAGGGGCTCCTTTCTCAGTCACTCCTGCATGCCACACCCTCCAGTGAAATGTGCCCACAAAAAGGCACCCTCTGCCACCCCTGAGACCAGCTGCTGGCGCTGCCTTCCTGCTGGGGAAGGCAGGGCGTTTGGGCAGGTGGCTGAGCGCGGAGTGCCTGCGGAATGTCACATCAAATCCCTGCTCAGCCTGCGGGAGGCCAGCGCGTGAGGACCGTGAGTGCCGCATCCCAGGGAGTGAGCGCAGGCCCGGCTGGCCGGGGCCCTGCCAAGTGGCAGAAGCCGCTGGAACCCAGACCACCCTCAAAAAGTGTCCTGCCCCTCTGGGGCCTGGGGCCGTAGGGAAACGGGGCCTGGGAGTAGAACAACCAGGAAAATGGCTTTGGGATCAGCACGAGGCCAGAGCAGGACGCTTTGGGGGACACAAATCCTTGCGGTAAGTGGTGCCACCGTGGACCAACCTTGCTCCCTGGTCATCCCTTAGAAATGCCCAGTGCTGCTTCAGCATCCCAGGCGGCCCCCGCACTGGGGCCAGATCGCTGACATCAGAGACCACTTGAATTTCTGGCCACCCGTGTGACAACAGGCTCAGAGGAGGGGATGCAGCGGCCCTCTCACGCACCGCGCTGCTCCCCGCCCTCGTCACAGACGGTCATGGGTTCCTGAGCCTGTGCGCGTGAGCCCGCGTCCCCTCCCCGCCACGGCGCCCTGAGAACTAAACTCGGCTCATCTCAGCCACAGCAGCCGGCACACATGAGTGCTCAGTAAAAGCGGGCGCTCGGTCTGTTTGAGTCTGCCAGCCCCCTGCATGCTCGCTAAGTGCCCAGGAAGTTCTCGTTGACCCCCGGCAGAGAGATCCACTAGTCCAGACTCGGAACTGGCCCCTGGAGGGAATTCCTGTGGACATGACACCTGGGGACTGCCTGCCGTCCCCGACCCGTGTGCCCCTGGCAAGCCACCAGGCTCTCTGACCTCTCCCGGGCCTTCAGAGACCCCGGAAGGGCCCCTGGGAGCCCCCTCCCACCCGACCCGAGGCCGGCGGGGGCGGGGGGGGCGGGCTGACCTGTGATTGCCCTTCTTGGCGGCCACGTGCAGGGGCAGCAGCCCGTCCTTGTTGGCCTTGTTGGCATCAGCGCCCTGCGACAGCAGGAACGCCACCACGTCCTCGTGCTCGTTTTTGCAGGCCTCGTAGAGGGCGGACGCGCCGTCGCTGGCCTGCGTGTTGATGTCAGCCCCTGTCAAGGAGAGGCAGGTCACGGAGGGGTCGGGGTGGCGACAGGCCGCTTTAGAGCACCGCCACGGGCTGTGCCAGGCACGTGCGTGACCCGCTGGGTCATTCAGTGGTGACCTTAGGAAGGAGGCGACCCCGTCCTGCAAGCTGGGGACCCTGGGCCTGCTGGCTGAGCGAGGTCTGGAGCCACAGCATTGCTGCCGGCGGTGCTGCACGTCTCAGAGTCCCCAGCTCTGTGGCTGGCCGGGGACCAGGTACCTGGCACCCATGCATACCTCGGGGGAAACGCAGGGGCCAGTGTCTGCTACGGACTCAAGTTCGCGTCCCGTCCCCACCCCGCCCGTTCGTCTGTTGAAACCTCACCCCCACTGTCGTGGCGCTGGGCGTAGAGCCTTTGGGAGGAATTTGGTCCTCGGGGGGCAGTTCTCACGATTTGGGGCCGTGCCCCTGCACGGGGGAGCCGAGAGAGCTCCCTGGTCCTTCCACCCTGTGAGGATGGTGGTCTCAGAACCAGGAACAGGCTCTGCCCGGCCCCCGACCCTGCCAGTGTCTGGAGGCTAAGCTCCCCGGGCCCTGGAAGGGCGGGACGTGACCTCTGAAGTGGGAAGGCCTCTGTTCTCCGGTGGACAGTTGCCCCCCACAGCGCGCGGCATGGTGAAGGGCTCAGCCCGTGAGTTCTCCTGCCCCGAGGCACCCAGCCCACGGCTGGTTCTGCCCTCCACCTGGGTTCTGACATCGCCGGCCCTAGAAGCCAGGCTCCCTGAAGGCCTGACCCGCCAGCACAGCCGTCCGCTCACACAAGAAAAATATTTGGATTTGCAAATGGACTCGGCCCGCAGAGGGAACAGACCCCGGCTGGCTGGAGTGTCGCAGGAGAGCCGGGCAGATGTTCAGAGTGAGCCGGTTCCCTCGCCCGCTGAGCACCCTGCCCTGGACCCAGCCTCCTCGCCTGGGCTCCCAGGACCCTGCCTGTGCCCCTTTGTCCTCCAGCTGCTCAGGCCAGATTTGTCCCTGGCGGCAAGGAAGAGCCTTGGGTCTGTTTTCCCAACTGTTCGGGCGCGTGCTGAGTAAGTGGATGCTTACCCAGGCCAAGTCCCACAAACTCCATTCGCAAGGAGTCGGGGCACGGCGTGGTGGAGAGCAGAGAGCGCGCAGTGTGGTGTGACATGGGTGACGTCAGGCTCTGGCCCCGGCTGTGAGCAGTCGTTTCACCTCCCTGACCTCTGTCGCCTCATCCACAAAGTGGGGCGAAGACACTACCTACCTCGTGCATTTCTGGAGAAAACCCCATACTCTGGCCTGTTCTGTGTTCCTGCTTAGCACAGTTCTAGCACATAGTAGGTCTTCAAAAAGTTACTGCAGCCCAGCTCCAGGATCTGGGTTGTCCCTGGCCTCTCTGTTACTAGAGAAGGAGGGCGACTCCCCATGCAGAGAGAAGAGAAATCAGAGACATTCTCCGAGGGGAGATCGGATTATAATGTTCTTTAACCGAAAAAGGGTTTGCGGTCGTCCTGCATCCCCCACAGAAACATCCACTCACTGCCCAGACTTGTATCTGGCTCCTGGCTCCTGCCCCTAGGACATTACAAAGCCAGCAGCGTGATTGTGTCTTCTCCTATTGGGTGAATAAGGATTTGAACCTGGGTTCAAATCCCAGCTCTGCCACTAAGTTGCTGTGTGACGGTAAACAAATTACTTTCCCGTCCTGGTCCTAGGATTCACCACGTATAAAATGAGGAGGTGACCTAAATATTGTCTGACGCTCCTGAAGTGTGACGTGGTAAAAGAGAAGGGGTTCGGGCTCAGAGGCCTGGGAGCCTGCCTGGATCTACCACAGACTGGTTTCGTGCCTGCAGATAAGCTACTTCCTCTTTCTGGGCCGCAGAGTCCTCATTTGTGAAATGAGGATGTTGGCTTAGATTAGAGACAGCAAAGAGGTCACACATGGGCCGTGGCAGCATCTTTAGTGGATCCCAACATGCCTCTGGCTGAGCCAAGACGCAGCCTCAGAATCCTTGTAGGAACCGCTCCAGGAAGAGACTGGATTCACTCAGAGAAGTCCCACAGACGACACCCGAGTTTGCTTTCCCTTTGAGCCGGCCGCTGAGGTCCAGCCCGGCTGTGCCCCGCAGGGCACCCAGCGTCCCCAGGCACTCACCGTGCTTGGCCAGAAACCTCAGGGCCTCCAGCTGCCCACTCTGGGCCGCCACGAACAAGGGGGTGATGCCATAGGCGTTCTTGGACTCCACCTTGGCGCCTCCGCTCACCAGGACCTCCATGACCTCCAGGTCATTGCGAGAAACGGACTCGTGCAGGGCGGTCCAGCCGCGGTTGCAGCGGTGGTTGGTGTCTGCGTTGTACCTCACCAGGATCCTCACCGCCTCCACATTCCTGTGCTCACAGGCTGTGCCCAGGGAGAAGCAAGCGGTCAGCAGGGCCCCACGCAGCCCGGGCAGCCCAGACGTCATTCATTCGTCAGTCCACTGCCCATTCATTCAGAGACTGAGTTCCAGTCCCTGCGCTAATTAGGATAGCCAACTAGGCTGTTGTTCGTAATACTAACGGTAGCAGAAATCTCTGCTGGCATGCACAGCTGTGCCAGACCCTCTGTTCTAAGCAGTGTATGCGGGTAAGTGATTTAATTCTCCCAAGCACCCTTAAAGGATGTAGTGCTGGTACCCCCTTTCACAGATGAGGAATATGAGGTAGAGAGAAGGCAAGTGACTTCCCCAGGGTCACAGGTAGTAAGTGGCAAGACTGGGATTCAAGTCGGAGTCCAGAGGTCCAGAGTTTCTGTTTTCTGGAATGTTCCAGAATGTTCCTAACTCCTCTCCCTTTCTGGTGTTACCTGTTTCCCTACATTGCGACGGTCAGAAGATGAGGAGAAAACCAGGTCATATTCTGCTTGAAAGCCCTCCTCAAAGCCTAACCACTCAATCTGGGATAAAATTTCTTACCCCATCGAGTCTTTCTTCTATGCACCATCTTCCCTTTGAAGCCACATCTCTCTCCAGAACCACTGCACCTTGGTTCTGGCCCATAGTTATCACTGAGAGGCTGACACTCACCCAAATTAGGGTAGGAAGGTCAAACAATACCTCAGGGGAAGCCCCCACCTCGTGAAGTCATGGTTTCCTGCCTGTAAAACCTTCCTGAGAAGACAGCGAGGCAACGAGCGAGGCAGCAGGTGGAAGGCTTGAATGCCGAGCTTGGCACATAGTAGGTGTGCATGTGCTCCAGGGCATTCTGGGAGAGCGGAGGTGCTCGGGGTGGCTCTGGTGTCCCGAAGGGTAGAGTGGGGAATGTGGGGTCTGGAGAACCTTCCACCAAAAGTTTATAATGCATCCAGTTCCTACTGTCCAAAGAAGGTTCTAGAAACTGAATACCAGATAACATGGGAAGTACGAAACTTCTTTGGTCGTTTTTCAAAGCGTGGAAGGCCCTAAAATTTTTTTTTTGCAAGACCCAAAGCCAGAGCATGTAGGCGGGAACTCAAAGCTTTATAGCCTAGTAATTCAGAACATGGTGCTGGCATCCAGATCCCGAGCTTAAACCCCAGGTCTATCCCTCGCTGTCTGTGTGAGCAAGACATCTCTTGTCCCCATGTCTCAGGTCCTCGTGTAAAACCAGGTGCTAGCAGGGCCTCATGGATGGAGGTGAGGGCCAGAGACGAGATCTGCGCCCGCCTGACACACGATAAGCACACAGTAACGCCAGCCGTGCCTCTGGGCCCTGCCTGGGCGGGCAGCGAGAGGCCTCGGATCGTGTACCGCGCCACCAGGAGCTTTCTCTTCCCCTGGACCTCCCAGAGGCCCGCACTTGCTCATCCTTTCTGCCTTTGTCCATGCTGTTCCTCCTCCTGCTTACCCAGCCGGTCAATTCCCCCTGTTCGGGACCCAAGCAGGCGTATCCTCATGTGGTGCCCATGCCCTCACCAGGCCCCTGCCCGACGCCCCCCAAGCTGCCGGCCACGTTCTGTGTGCCTGTACCTCCGGCCCTGGAAGGACACCAGGACTGCACCTGGACATCTGTGCCCTCGGCGCTCCCCAGAGGCCCTTGGGACTACTGTGTGGACACAAGCTGAGCGAGCGAGTCCATCACCAGAGTCCTACATCCAAGCGAGGTGCCCTTCAAAGCAACCCCTGGGGGCAGGTATGTGTAGCGGGAGCAAAGCCTGTGGTGGCCTCCTGGCTCCTGGACGCGTCCTCCGGCAGCCCGGCTGGCGTCTCACCTTTGTAGAGAGGCGTCTCCCGGCCCTTGTTGGAGATGTCGGGCTCGGCCCCCGCCTGGAGCAGGGAGAGGAGACAGTCCAGGTGCCCTCTGCACGTGGCCAGGTAAAGGGCCGTTTCCTCCTGCAGGGTGCGCTGGTCCAGGGCTGCGGGGTAGGCTGAGGAGGACCGACAGGGCATGCCTGAGGGAGGGAGGTACCCGGCTCCCTGCCTACATGCGGGGCCAACTCCCTCCCCACTTCCAGGCATGGCAGGGTGATGTCCTCCTAAATTTCCCGACCACTGGCCTCTGGCTTTCACAGCGCTGCTCCGCTTCCATCCTGCAGACCCAGCTCAGGGCCGCCTCCCCCAGAGGCCCCTCTGGCTGGCCCAACCCCGCCGGCGTGGCCCACGAACTCCCACCAGTCACTGCGGGAAGCTCAGCCTCAGCGGCCATTTCTACCCTGGAGTGTGGTGGGGGTGGGGGGTCCCGAGGGCAGAGCCCTCCGTCTTGGGAGGAAACTGAGGCTGACAGAGGAGGTGTGATGTGGAGAGGATCCCACAGCCGGGGTGGGGGGCGGGGAGTGACCTTGGCAGCACGGCTTAGCCGCAGTCTTTTCCGCACGAAGTCAGTCCCTGGGACATTCTAGAACAAGCTGGCATGGCTTTCCCAAAAGTCACCCCCCCCCCCCAATTCCTTCTCTAGTGATTAGGCTTTCCTTGTCCTGGAAGTTCTGGAGAGATGGCAAAAGGGGAAGGGACACGCCCCCTCTCCCCGTCTGGTGAGCTCGGTGCTCCGGCCGAGGGAACGTCTGCCCAGAGTCCACTTGCCACACGGGGGCAGCGGGGCCTGCCCCTCACCTCGCTGCAGGGCCCTCAGGCAGTCCAGCTGGCCGTAGTAGGCGGCCTCATGCAGCGGCAGCCAGCCCTCCTTGTTGGGCTCCGCGAGGTTCTTCCCCGCCTGGATCATGGCCTTCAAGGCCTTCTCGTCGCCTTCCTTGATGGCCTTGAGCACGGGGTCCACGGGCCTGTGAGCGCAAAGGGGAGTCTCTCCTCAGCACGGAGCCCAGGCGGGCAGCCCCTCTCCCGGAGGGAAAGCAGGGCCTGCCGTGCCCGGGGTTTTGTGGGCGGGGGGCCCCGCAACCCTGCCGGTCCCTGCTGACAGCCCAGCGTCCTCCTTGTGAGAACAGTGACCCTCGTCCGCATGGGTGTGCCGGGAACTCCGCCTGACCTTGGCCTGACCTTCCACCCCATCAGGGCTTCCTCAGCTACACTGACGTCAGCCTGCCTGCCCAGGTGAGCCGCTCCTCACCTGCTCGAAGTCCTCACCTACCCACTGCCTTTGCTTGTCTTTGGAAGATTGTTTGACCACTGTCTGTCTCCCCCACTGTTCCAAATTCCAGAAGGACAGGGACAGTATATTTCTTTAATTCCTCGTGATGTTATTCCCAGGACCCAGCTCAGTGGTTGGCCTGTAATAGGTGTTTGATAAATATTTGCGGCATGAGAAAGAGCTCACAATCTAGTCGTCCCAACAATCATTTCACCCTTCTATTTCCAGAGACAGCCTCTTTCCTGTTACAGTTTTGCATTTTCATGAGGAACTTCCTATTTTGTGCAAAGCACTTTTTGCAGCAAATCCTTTCAGTATCTGGAGGGTGGCCGCGCAGCCAGATGAATGTTCTGGGGAGCTCCGGAGGCAGCCTGCCCGTGCCCCGCTCTTCCCAGGAGCATCCCTGGGCTGGGGGTGTTTGCACAGCTTGAGCGGCAGGGCAAGCACCAGGTGGGGGACCTGTGCTAGAAAGCGGGGAGACCCCTCCATCCCTATGGCTTTCAGTGGCTGCAGCTCTGCTTACAGCCAGATGTTCCCCCTCGGTGCAGGCACCAAAGGGCGGATGGCTAAGCCCTGGGGGGCCACAGAACGCGCCCCCCTGAGCACAGAGCTCCAGCCTTTACCGGGAGACCCACCTTCTGGTCTGTCTCCCTGCAAGCAGCCCTAAGGTGAAGCCCAGACCCCTCAGATGGAGACTCCGCAGGGACATCTGTCTGGGGTCCCCTGCTTGCACCCCACCCTAATCATCATCCTAGAGCACACAGCTGCTGGAGGATGAATACACTCGAAGCCATCCCAGTTTAGGACTTCTGAATGTCAAAAGGCTTCAGGGCTAGCGGGAACCACCCTTCTTTGCAGGGCTCAACAGAGCCACGCTGTTCGTTTGTCCTGTCACCTATCCACTGCCCACTGAGCCCCTCCCCCCACCCTCAGAGGGCTAGTGGGGGCCACCACTCATGTGGCCGCTGGGTCCTCTCCTGGGCAGCCCTGCACCCACAGGCCCACTTCACAGAGGGAGAAGACGAGGCTGGCAGTGGGCCCTGCTCTGGGCGTACCCACACGGAGGCCAGCACAGGCCTGAGGGTCTCCAGGGCCGCCCCGCCCCGCCCCGCCCCGCCCCTTCCTCCTGCGTGAGCGACACTTCTTCCTGACTCTCAGCCTCTCTGGTTATTAATAGCGCGACGCGCAGAGGCAGCCGGCGATGGCGAAGGTAGCTGCCCAGATAAGCGGGGTCCCTGTCCGCACCTCACGGCCACCTCGCAGAGTCCTCCCACCTGTGGCCGGAGCAGCCTGGCGGCCTCAGGAAAAGCTTGGGTAGGGTGTCTCTTGACCCTCCGGAAGGTCTCCTGGGGAGGGGAGGGGCTGGCTGTTGCGGCCTTGGGGGTGCAGGCTGTCGTGTGCTCTTGGGACAGGCCGCCCAGCTCCGGTCGAGGCTGCAGGGACCCCGGAGCTGCTTGTGCGTAAGCCCAGCCAACATCCCCAGCCCAGCAGTGGGGGGGTCAGGCCCTCATAGGCCACGGAGCTAGAGGGTCTCTCTGTCCTCTCCAACCTTCTCTCCCAGAGAACGGAGACTCAGGAGGGACAGCGACCCCTCGCACTTGCTGAGAAGTGGCAGCTGGGCCCAGACGAGACCAGGCCCAGGAGCTCCCTTTCCAGACTCAACCCCACTGCCACAGTGCCTAGGAAGTGGGGTGCAGCAGAGTTTGAAAGGTCTGAGAAGGAGAAGCAAAACCTCGGCCCACCTCCTCCTCCCTTCTGTGAGAGACAACCGAGCGAGGAAATAGGGGTTCCAGTGATGGCCCCCCTTGAATTCGAGGGTCACTACGGGGGAGCCACTATGGAAACAGCTCAGAGCTGTGTTCTAGAGAACCACCTCACCCAGCACCCTGGCGCCGGGCAAACAAATTCCCTCCTGCCGCTCAGAATGTTTCTGGATTCTAGCACCTGGCACTTAGCTCCTAAAAACAACAAAGCCAAATAGGGCCCCCGGGCGCGCTATTGGCCATGCTAGGGTGGCGGTGGGGCCTGGGGGGCCCCTGGCCTGGGCGGGACTGACACCAGCCTCAGCTCCGAGCTCCCCTACCTCGGGCCCGAAGGCAGTCTCCCCAGTGTCCCTCTTGCTGGGCCCCCAGATTCAGAGTGCTACAGGCTTCTCCAGCACATGGGCCCCAGGCGGGGGCACCGAGGGGTTAACCACAGCCCAGCTGGCAGCCCCATGGGGCCTGGAGCCTAGCTCAGCAGGAGCAGCTGGATCTCAGAGTCACACCTGGGAGGGGTGCGCTGGGAGGTGCCCCCTGCAGCACCCCCCCACCCCGTCCCATCCCTCACCCCTCAGCCGCCCCAGGTGGGGACGTGAGCTTGGCTGGTCTCGGGGGGCTGGGCCCGGGGTCACTTACGCCAGCTCTGGGGTCTTGCTGCTCTTGTATTTCTGCAGGACCCCTTGGAACAGACCCATGGGGGCTGAGGCGGGCGGGCTCTCGGGAGGCGCAGTCGACCTGGAGGGTGCAGGGCGGGAGTGAAAGAGGGAAAAATACTCTGCATAGGAGAAGCGGGTCATGGCCGGAGGCTGGAACAGGGCTGGAGGGAGCGCGAGGGGGAGAGCCGAACAGGCGGACACAGGGCGCTGAACCAAAGCAGATGGCCGCGTCCGCTGCGTGCTGGACACAGCTGCTGTGTCTCGGGATTATTTTTGGCCCTTGGAGGAAGCCCTGGGAGATTTAAATGACCATATAAGACAACAATGAGGTTAACCTCACCCCCTCCCCAGCCAACCACGCGGGAGGCAGATATGAAGCAAGGTGACATACTTCCCCAGGAGGACGTGAGAAGGGGCCAGTGACAGGCCCCAGAGGGAAGGGGCTGGGTCTCAGGCCATCCACGCCGGGTGCCCCCTGGGCCGGGCAAGGGGCTCCAGGGGTCAAAGTCGGGGGCAGAGCCAGGCCTGTCCCCCAGGCCCTCGCTGGCTCTTCATCCGGGGGTCTTGTTGCCCCGGGGTTGGGAACAGACAGTCCGGAGATTACAGCAAGAGGATTCAAGAAGATTCCAGGAGCAGGCCAAGGGCGGAGGCAGATGTGAGTTCGAGTCCAGACCCTGACACCGCCTGCCTGTGTGACCTTGGATGAGGGGAATGCCTCTGGACTTTGCTCCAGAACAGTCCTGTCTGGGCAGGAGTATGAACAAGCAGGTGTGCTCAGAGGAGGGCCAGACTCAAGGGTCTCACCCGCACCCACTACTGATTTTATCATTGTTTCACCTCCCCAAGCCTCAGTTTCCCTGCTCCGTCAGGCTGGGAGGAGAACCAGAGGGATGGGGGATGCCACCCCGTGGTCTGGATCGATTGAGGGTGCAATGAGAATGGGGCCAAGGCTCACACTATCCCCACTTCTAACAGTCGGCAGTCAGACCCTGGTCCTGGAACGACACCCAGAGGCCCAGCATGGCCTCTGCGCCCCTCCACTCTGAGGGGCTGGGGAGGGGTGACCAGCACCCCAGGGGGCATAGATGTGCCGGGGCACAGTAACCCTGGGAAGGACCCCCAGTGTTCCGGGACGGGTCAGAGCCACAGATGCTGTGTGTCCCTCAGCAAGCCCAGGGTGGCTGGGCAGGAGTGTGAAGATGGCCACCGTTTCCTCGGCCATCTCAGGGGGGCCAGGCCAGCCCTCTGCACCATCCTCATCCTTGAGGTCTCATCTACCTTCCTCTCTCCCTGCTGTCACCCCGAGCGCCCTCCGGCCAGGCGGCTGAACCTGGCAGCTCTCATTCCATCTCAGGTGGGTGCCACGGTCCTGGCTTTTCCTAGAGGAGGGAACCAAGGTCCCCAACATGGGTGGCCCCCTGGTGACATGCCCAGACGCCCACCTGTCTGCAGAGCACCTCAGCCCTCCCTCCTCACTTTGCTCATTTTTGAACAATGAGGGTGTAGAACCAAACTGGGTTCCCTCACTGCTCTTGTGGAGCCTTTGCTGAAATGAGCTCCCTGGGGGAAATGCAAGAGTCTAAGAGACTGCATCCTGGGAGGGGTGCAAAGGCCAGCTCTGGTGGTGTTGGGGGGGGGGGTGCTGCCTGCTGGTCAGGAGTGACACCAGGGCCAGGCACTCCCACCCCTGGTCTTGACACAGCCCTGGGCTTCTGTCTGTATATGATTGCGGGGATCCAGCCCCCCTTATCATTGCCCACATGTGGTGTCCCTTCACTGATTGCTGCTGGAATGCCTTGAGCAAGGCTTGCATAACCACCCCAAAACCAGGGGCTGCCGCTGGCAGGATGCACACACAGCAGTGCTGTGGCCAGAGCACTCGTGTGCTAGAGCCCTGAGTCGGGTAGCTTAAGTGTTTTAGGGGTACCAGGCAAGTGCACGGAGCTGCTGATCCACAGGGGTCATGGGCAGCTGGGGGGCCAGGTCCCCCGGGTTCTGAGCTTTCCCACCTAGGCTGCAGCCCCGTATCCCCCAGGGCCCCGAGCAGGGGATTCCCAGCCCAGAAACCATAAAGGCTGAGTCATCAGAAGTGATAGCAACCTGGCGGGATGTGGGCTCCGGTCATGCCCCTGTGGAGGCTGGGGTGGGGGGCCCCTGTCCTTCTCTTGGGGTCATGAGGGCATCGGCAGCAGCGACTTCAGACACAGGTCAACTCAGTGAGTAGGAGTGGGGTTCTGGTGACAGTGCCCCTTCATTTCTTAGTGACTCTAGGCTGGGCTAACAGGAAACCCAGGTCAGCCCGGGAAGGGTGTTAAATTGGCTGAAAGCAGCTGGCAAGCATGCACCTCAACAGGGGAGGGAGCTGACATTCCATGCCTACGCCTTGCCCACACCTGTGCCAGGGCCCTCCATTTGCCCCCACGCCACCTGCTCAGACATCCAGGCACAGGTGTCTGAGTACAGTAGGCACGACCCCCTTGAAGAGGACAATAGCCTTGATGTTGTATAACCAAGATTTCCAGTCCCAAGGTCCCCTCCAGTTCCCTCTCTGAGAGAGACATCATTGGCTCCCTTTGCACATGAGGAACTGAGACTCAAAGAGAGCTGCTGCTTCTAACTTGTTTAACGAACTCCTATTCATCCTGCAAAACCCACCTTCTCAACTAAGTGAATCAACCCTTCTTTGTCCCTTCAAAACTGGGGCAAGCATTTTTGCTGTGTTCTTCCTGCTGGGCCATTATGCATGTCTGGCCCAGGCCTGACTCATGCCGCTGCAGAGAAGGAACCTGGCACATCAGAAGCACTCAGTGAGTATGGGTGACTTGATCTGACTCATTTTTAAGTGTGCATACATCAGCACAAGCAAGTTCCTGCTTCCTCTCCCTTTATGATGTTAGAAATATAACCCTAGGCCCTCCCTGGTGGTGCAGCAGGTTAAAGCACAACACTGCAAGCGAGCCATAGCCCCTTAAGTGCTGAGTTTGATCCCCAGCCCCGGAACTGACCCACATGGTGCGGCAGACCTCTCCTGACCCACCCATTGCTCCCTTCTGGAGCATACTTTGTTAATCTGCTTGTTCTGCTCCCTACTCTGTCTCTGGTGAGTCCTCTCAGTGCCTCTGCACCTCTGGCCTGCACCCCAGTTCTGTATGCATAAATAAATCTTTAAAAAAATGTAACCCTAAGCAAAATGCAAAAGTTTAAGACCAGCTTCCTTGAACCACTCTGTGTCCATGGTAACCTTGGGTTCCCTGTCTCAGGAGGCCACAGATGCTCCATCTCTGGGGGACAGGAAGCCAGGTCTGTCTTTAGGGGGACCCTCAGTGGACCATGGCAGGTAGATGATCCTCACACATGTTCCAAACTTTGTCCCTTACAATGTGACAAGACAGTACTGGAAAAGAGCTTTTAAGGGAACATTCTATCCTCTTCGGGATGCTGATCTGACTTTCACTCTTAGGGCCCCTTTGGGGTCGCCATTTTGGTCATAAGATGATAACAACAAATTAGTATTGATTTGCCTGAAGTCACTCATTGAGTACCCACTATGGGCCCAGCTCACTGCTGCATACAAAGGTGAGGGTTTCTGCTTCCGGTCCCCAGGAAGTGACATAGTCAAACCTCCAGCCTGGCTCCTCTGGCCACTCTGCTGCCTCTCCATTCATTCCTTCATCCCCGTCCACTGGCTCGCAGAGAGCCTCAAGGGCTCACGAGGGTTGGATGCTGCCGGGCGGGGACCATCCTGGGAAGGAAGCAGGATGAAGCGCACACCTTCACAGAGCGTACAAGTCAGTGATAAAAACAGACCGGTGACCTGTAAGCCATCGTCAGAGCCGTGAAGGAAACGGCCGAGACAGTGGGCAGGGGAGGCGAACCCCCCGCCCCGGGAGCTGGTCAGCAGGATGCGTGGGGAGGTGCCGGGACAGCGTGGCGCCCTGTTCCGGAGCCTGCGCTGGCTGATCTGGATGGACGCTGACAAGCAGGGTAAGAGGGCACAGACTCTGGGCCCCCGGACTCCCACACCCGACAGCACACCCTGCATGTCTGTGGTCTCTGGGGACCCGCGAACCTCTGTGGCTGGGCGGCAGATATGAGGAGCCCGCAGCCAGGTGGAGGCGGGGCGGAAGCGGAGAGAGGCCCTGCAGGAAGCGCAGAGCTGGTGAGGGACTTGAACTTCGGAGCAGGATAGACTTGGCGGGCGCCCCACCCCGCCCCCGGCCCGCTGGGCACAGAATTACCCAGCCACGTGACCTTCATGAGCATTAGGAGGACTGTAGTGGGCCGGCAGCAGAGAAGACTGGCTTAAAGATCATGTTGGGAAGGATTTGCTTCTCCAGCAGGGAAACCTCCGGAGGAAACAAAGGGAGCCCAGCCAAGGAGGCAGGCATCTAGCCGCATCAGCAGGGAGCAGAGACGCAGGTTGAAGCCCCCCGCCCTATGAATTTTGTCAGGATCTTAAGTGAGGGCGCACAAGTCACTTCACTTCCTCTCCGAGAGCCTTTTCTCAGGAGGCTGCATACATGGTTCTAGCCCAGCATGAGTCTCCATTTCTTCTCCCTCCCTGGGAAGGGGCTCCCACCTGGCCATCAGGGGCCACTCAGCTGTGATGTTGCACCCCAGGACTCGGGTAGGGTGGAGCTGGGAGCCTGCAGATGCCTGGAGCTTGTGCCAGCTCTTGCTGCAGGCCCGGCTTCCGAGCCAGGATGCTCTTATCTCCTCTTTCCCCTCCTGAGAAACAGGAACCTGTGGTTGGCTTCGGCCCAGTCACCAGAACAGGAACCAGGCCCCTACGTCAAGGCCGTGATGAGTCCTAGGCCGGGCACCTCTGCTTCCCACGTGGGGTCCTGGAATGGGGCTTCGCCTGCAACTCAGCGAGCTGGAGACTTCCTGGGCCTCCCCACTGTGCCCACACTTGCCCGCCCCTGCCGAAGGGGCCGTGCGGGGCATCCTGGCCCTCTGGCCTGCCTCCTGCAGAGATGGCCCAGCCTGGCCAGGGTCAAAGTTATCTCGGGAAAGCCCCACAGGCTTCCTCGGGAAATGGGGCTGAGATGCACCATCACCCACCTTCACCCTATAAAGTGGGGTCTTTAAAATTGTTGTTATAAGAGGGTGAGGTTCAGAGAGTTAAGTGACTTGCCTGAGGTCACACAGGGTGGCAGCTGGCTGCTGGAGATGGTGAGGTTTGAACCTGAGCCCCAAGGTAACACTAAGACAGTTGTCATGGCCACTCCTGTCCCTCTGCCCAAACTTCACATTGACTCAGTGGTGAGCGAAAGCATCTTAGGAATTTGTGTATTTCTTTTCTAAAAGCATGTTGAGATCTGATCTGAATCATCTCTTTGATGCCCCCTTCCTACAAAGGTGCCTTTGAGCTCTGCTTCCCAGCATGGTAGCCCCTGGCCCCAGGCGGCCGGTGGACAATATAAATCAAGACTCTGGGTTCCAGAGATGATGCGGAAAAAAAAGTTTGTGAAAATCTCATGGTTAACTCTTACGCAGATGATGTGTAGACATGATAATACTCAGGATGTAACTTCACCTGTCTTGCTTGGCTTTTTCACTGCGACTATTCTGGCACTCAGAATTGCGTACGTGGGTGCGGTTCTGGCTTGCAGCACATTTCAAGCAGTGGCTTGATGGTCTGGTGGCTTGGGCCACACCAAAGAGCAGGGTGGCTGTGCCAGCGGGTGCCATGGCAGCACATAGGCTGGAAACATCACCCTCTAGGCCACCATGTTCCCAGACTCCGAATATCAATGCCGCTCCTGCAAACATAAAGCCAGCGACAGGGGCCAGGCCTCACGCTTCAGAGTCAGGCAGCCCCAAGCTCCGCCATGGCCCCCCTGAGCCTGGGGCCCTCGGGCAAGTTGCTCAGTCCTGAGCTTCGGTTTCCTCCTCTGTGGACGGGGGATACAGCAGGCAGCCCGCCTAGGAGACGCTTGGGAGGGGTGAAACGAGAGAGTGTTTGCGGCAGGTAAACACCCAGAGCTACAGAACTCAGAGGCTTAGCGAGCAAATGTAACTAAGCCACGAAGGTGTCAAATGCATCCCAGGGACCAGGATATCTGGGTGTGGGCAACAGGATACCTCCACGTGCCCCGGCCGAGGGCTCACCTGGTCCACGGGTAGAAATGGGCAGGTTGGCGGTTGGCACGGGTGGGCCCCGGGGCCTCTGTGGCGGTGGGGCCATGCGTCTTGTCAGCCAGGCTCTGCTCGATGGCCATCTGGATCAGCTCGTCCTCGCTCAGACTGCCGTACAGGCTGTACTCCTCGTGCCCGATGGCCCGCTGCCCGCCCCGAGCGCTGATCTCTGTGGCCATCCTCTCGCCTTCTCACCCGGCCTCCAGGGAGGCCCTCGGGACAGGAGGAAGCAGCCAATCAGAACAGCCTGTGAGAGGCCAAGCGCATCCTGGTCACTAGCAGCGACAGGACAGTGATGCTTACCCACAGGAAGGCTGTCCCTCTGTAGCCACCACACCGTCTCTTTCATTCGTCCACTCACTGGGTCATACGAGCCACCTATCTGGACGCACGCCACCCGTGCACTCAGCTGTTCGCCAGCCCACTTCCCGGGCTAACCACTCATGCCTGACACTTGCTTCATCCTCTCAAACGTCCACCTGTCCACGCTCTCGCTTAGCCATGGCCTGTCCATCCATTTATACATCCCTGTATCTAACAGCCACCGATCCAGAGATCCTCCTGTCCAGACTCATCCATCATCTGGCCACCACTCATGCCTCCACTAGCCATCTGCTCAGCTGTCTGTGCACCCGCCCCCCACCTCATTTACCAGCTCGTCCTCACCCTCCCCAGTGCACCCCCGGAATCCTTCTGCCTACCCACCAGGTATTCATTCCCAGCGGCGCAACTATGTCTGTGTGCGTGTCCATTCACTGGGAGATGTGGGGGTGATCTGCCTGCTACACCTGCACCCCCTTGATTGCCAAGGTTGATTCAGCAGTTCTGGCCAGCTAGGGGGATGTCCCCTCCCCCCCCATCACTTGTCCACGTGTGTCCCTCCCAAGGCTGCATGCCGGGCTAGGAGGGCGTTCCCCGAGCAGAGACAGACTGTTCTTCCACCCAGGGCAGATGCGCGGCTGAGCGACCCCACCCAGAACCTCCAAAAAGCTCGCAAGGTCCCAGAGAGGTTATTTACTGAGCACACTATACACCAGGGCTTCCTCCAAGCACCGTGACGCCGCACAGGCAAAATCCCTGCCGCGCACACAGCAGTGCGCATGCGCCCCCACCCCCCCACCCC